GCCCCCGGCGGCAGCGGGGCTCCCGGGGGTCACGGGCCGTAGCTGGGGAGGAGCCGGGTTCAGCGGTGTGGATGCCCTTTGTTCCACCTGGGGGTCCGGAGCAGGCCGAGGAGCGGGGCGCTGCCTGCGTTTGGCACCAGCCAGGCCCGCGGTGCCCGGGCCCTTTGCTGGGTGGCCCTGGGCGAGCGTCCCAGGGCTCGTAATCGCAGGGGCGGGGGTGGTTAGGCTGCAACTCAGCCGGCCTTGCCTTTTTTTTTCTTCCCAGGTTTGGAAGTCGGTAATGGCAGGTCTCCTATGTAACTCCTCTGCAGTACTTCACCAGTCAGAGCAAGCGTGATGTTGTCTCTACCACGTAGTTTCCTGGGCCAATCTACCCCTTTCTCCCCTGTCCTCCCATTGGTTGTGCGCGTTAGGAAGTCGCACAGCCTCATTACAGATCTGCAGAATTGCGTCTCTCCAGTGTATCTGAGAAACTGACATCCACGCTGTATATATTTCAGAGAGGTGTCTCTGAGTAGTTCTGCTCTGGTCCTAGGCACTGAGTCCCCTTAACAGTGGGGAACACATTTGGAGCATTCCTGGAGTGCATCTTCCAGTTTAGTTTTATCCCAAAAAATTGGTTTTGTACACTCTAAGACTGCTCCACGACACTATCAGAGCATGGTAGATAGGTACTATCAGGAGACTTGCTTCAACAAGTGAAATCACGGTGTGAACTAGAATGTTAACACTAGACTCGGCCTTTGTGGACAACCTTAAAATAAGAGGTTTTGTACAATTTTTCCTTCTGTAAATAATCCAGGAGAGTTCTTTGTTTTGGCAATGGAGGTTACTCATGAAATGATGTTTAGAGTTTGTCTGAAAGTGGAGTAGCATTACAACATTCACATAAATCTATAAATCTATTTTTATTTATAGTATAGCGCACTGAATCTTTGTTTCCAAGGTTACCAAGACTATAGAGTTATTGATTCTGAGTGGCTAGTTCTATTTTCATACATTCTAATGTTTCTTACTTGACCAAATTAACCTTTCGGTTAGCTACTGCTACGTGTCCTGGACATTGACTAATAGCAAATTGCAAAGGACTGTTGTGGTGTCACGGTGACGTTTTGTTTAAGAAGCTGTTGTGAGTGGGTGTGTCCCGTAACTTGCAAGAGAACAGTGTCATCCATGCCTACTGCCCTCACGTCAAAGTTGTGTGGTGTGGTGTAAACAAAGATAAGATGCAATCGCACATCTGTCGTGATATCAAAAAAATTGACACAACATTAATTTAGGAAATCTTAAGATCTGGATCTTAACGTTGAGTATTTTATCATGTAGTAATAAAGATTAAACCTATTTTTGTTGCTAGTGTGTTATGTGCAACTCATCTGAAGCTAAGCTTCCAGTTTGTTAATGTTCCCCGATTATTCTGCTGTTCTAGCTATAGGTTTGATCTCTGATCTCAGGCAAGATAGGAGAATGCTTCAGTGTGTCTCAGCTAACACATATGTAAAGTCCCAGATGTCCTTCATTTCCCCAAGTAAGAGAATAGCCGACAGTTACGTTCTTTTATTTAAAAACTTGTAACCCTGTGTGCAGCAACAGCTAACTTGCAAAAATGTGATTTAAGACTGAGCAGATGAATTGTGAAGCAAGGATCCATGCTCTCTGAACGTGGTGGTTTTGTATCGCCGGTACATAGGAATGGAAGCAGCCATTAAGCAGAATTACATATTCCGCTCTAACAGTTTTGGGAGTTTTAGTTTTTGTTGAACATCACTTTATTAGTGGTACTAAGTTCAAATAATGGTCCTGATTGAGTACTGCTGCTGGCAGCGATTGTTTCTGCTGTTTTGGACCTGTATACCGTTTTGAAGTAGCTTTGGTTTCCTTTGTCATATAAAAGTGATAGTTTGGGAA